CATAGGGAAATATGGAAGCCATTATAAAAAGAATACTACTGTGATTAAAGATTGTAACTATCCAAACAGACGCCACCACAGGCCTCCAGGCGGTAAGAAATTCCATAATAAGTATAATGGTAACTAATTTATATATCTCCATAGTAATTTTAATAAAATATAAAAATCTACATAATAATGCGTGCTTAAGAAAAATGTTAATGTAACTACAGTTAATTTGGCACCTTACCATCACTGATTTTAAATTTAGAGAAATCATTTTTATTTCGAATTGCAAATACAATTGATGTATCAGTGCGCCGAGCAAGGATACTCGAATGTTTGACCCAGCAATGCTTAAAAGTATGTTTCTTCGCTTCAAGACGGCACTCACGAAAGAACAATTTATTTTTTAAAGTCAGATGTTCATTTAAATAAATAGTGTGGGAAGTTCCCGATATACCAAGCTGATCAGACTTTAGGCCCCTAGCAAGACGGTAAGCACTCAAAACATTATCTCGAAAAAGCATAGAAGAGAATCTCACCACTATATTCTTTGGTTTTTCTTTATTAATGTGTTTTTGGGGTACTCTGTGCACAGAAACAATATTCGTTTGTCGAATGGGAAACTTAATTTTATCCCCCATCACCTCTAAAAGAGTGATGAGATTCTCCCCGCGCCTCTCCGGGACATTGGCAATCTCTATGTTGCAGGATCTCGCTTGTTGCTCCAACGTATCGATTTTTCCTTCCAGTTGTTGTATGAGATCCACAGAGTTGCTGGTAGAAGAACTGCAAGACTCCAGAACATCAATCCTCCTCGCAAGGTCCCCACACTGGTCAGAAGTATATTGTAACGAACCTTCTAGGGTGGCAAGGCGCTGTGTACAATCGCTGTCATTGTTTTCCAGAACAGATAATCGTTTTTTAAGGGTTTCTTGATCAGTGCGTAAGGTAGACAATTCACTGCGAATTTCCGATGTATTTTTTGTGAGTGAGTCCAGGTCGCCTTTGATTTCAGCAAAGTTTATATTCATAGACGCGAAGCTTGAATCAACATCAGTTTTGAATGACTTCAATGTCTCCTTTAGTTCGCGTGCCACAGAGTGTATCATTTCTGTCAAGGCACAGTCGGGCTGTTTACGTTTCCGTGAAGTAACTCCAGCATCGGTCTCAGACATTTTCACTCGCAGATCAGGGTTAGAATTAGTCTTAGTTGGAGGGCCACTCATCCTTCACCACTGTACAAGTATCCAAAACGAAAGTGTCGCTAACTTATCGTAAGATATCGTGGTAGCGGTCACTAGGGCACTCTGGTACGAAGTGGTCGCCAATTTTGCCGCGCTGCAAATATCTGTCGCTGGTCAGGAGGTATAAATCCGCAAGCCGTGTCAGCGTGTCCGGGGGTTCAAATCCCTCCCGTGACGGACCTTGTGTAATTTACTTTGTGTGGTTTACTCACGTTGTATTCGCCAACCAGGTAAGTTCAAGTCCTCATATGACTGAGACACAAATACTGCCTTCAAATATGGCCGCTGCGTTATATGGGTAAACTCACAAGATAGTAAGAGAGGTACCGATAAATACTCTAAACTTTGATAATTCGCATTGAGTATTCAAAATTAAACATTTGTAAAAAGAAAAAGCAAACTAACATCACAACCGCACGTAGCAAGGCACCGAACGTAATGTATGTATATAAACTTAATAAATGCGAAGTTTTATGAAATATCTGCTTTCAAAAATCTGCAAGTATGTATATTTATTTTCATACAAAGAAAATACAGAAAGATTATCTTATTGGCTTAAAATATTCTTATGAAAAGTGACCCAGAACTAAATTTTTTTATTTAAGTTTTATGGTGAAACAATGAAAATTAGTACGGTTCATAGTTTTGAATGTAAATAATATAATATAATTTCACTTTCCGCTATTTAAAAGTATAGTACCTTTATATGTGGTATTTTTTTAAGTAAATTTTCTAAAAATGAAACCTACCTAGATCGATTAATCGCCCCCGAAACCCCCTGCATACTAAAATTCACGAAAATCGCTGCAGCCGTTTCCGACTTTCACATTATATATGTATATACAAAAATCACTCCTTTAAAGGTAAGGATAAAATAATGTTCTAGTTCCTGAATACAATACATAATCTTCGGGAATCTTCGAAAAAGGGGGCGCGTAAATATCATTCATTACACTACACAAATTTCTTACAGCAATCTTCTACAGTGTTTATAACCGTGAAGTGCTTGAGCCTTGCTCAATAGTCAAACACTTTAAAAAAAAATGACTTTGCTCTGACATCATAGTAAAATTTAGTTATTCATTTATACTTGACATCCTCTGGTGGTCGAATATAGACCATTTTGAATGTATGGTTTTATAATTTCCTTCATGTATTATTAATGTTTAGGTAACATGTATGTATATGTGTGTATATGTAGATATTTATGCTATCTATTTAGTACAATAAGTAATTTCTTGTAAGTACCAATGTTTTGAACTTTATTTTTATACAGTATCATAAAATATATTGTAGTAAATATTGTAGTGTATTTTATTGTGTTGAATAATTTAACACATATTTTAATGATTTTAAAGACTTTTTTGTTCAGTTTTTTCAGTTTATGTGGAATCGGAAATGGGGACGAATCTACTTGCCAACAAAACATACTATTATAGACACATTTCATATATTTTCGAGAAATAGGCTTTTTTGTGACTATCGTAAAACATATTGGCTAAAACAGCATATTTGGGAATTAATGCACAGGATAATACATGAAAGGTAACTATTAGTTTAGACCAGATTTTTTAATTAGATTCGATTTGTAATCTGCCCTAATGCTAAATGTTGACTTACTTTGCACTTCAAGAGGTTTAAAACTAGTTTATCCTCCGCATCACAGAATATAATATTTATAAATAATAATATTCTACCATATTCACACAATGCCATCTAGTCCCAAACTAAGCAGAGCTTGTACTATGGGTACTAGACCACTGATATAGATACGCACATACTTTTTTTTTGTAAATACATACATATCGAATCGGAATCAAACCCGCGATCTTTGAAATAGCAGTCCGTTACACAAACCACTACGTCATCCGGCCATAAAGAAATGATCTTGTCATTCTTTTCAAGGATCTCTCGAGAATAAAACTTTTTGTTGTGGATGAAATGTAATTTATGTCATATTTGTACTGTCAAGGGCGGCACGTGTAAATTTTTTATCAGGACGTTAGCGTATCCTTCTCCGAGCCTTTTTCTCAAACTAGGTTGGGGTCGGCTTTAAGTCTACTACAATACGGCTGAACTTCGATTTTTTGCGACAGCCATCAGACCGCCACAACCCAAGTACTGGGTGGTAACGAAGTTTTGTAGAAAGACTATTGTTGGATTTTGTAACCAACTATCTGTAACGATTGCCACAGATTCACAGTCTTAATGTGCTCTCGAAGGCACGGACGATTACGTCTTAGCGTATATTAATAATAATTACTGTAATGATTATGTTACTACTCGTACTACAGTAGTATAGGACTACAATTATTTTTTTACAATTTATTAACATCCTGATTTTAAGAGGAAATCATGATCTGAAAAGGATAAATTTATAAAGTAAGAAGTTCGATATGGACATAGAAAGAGGATTTAGAATAAAAATATCAGGTAAAGCCTAACAATGGAAGAAGTAATTGAGTTAAAAAAAAATGATAAAGGAGGTAAATAAATGTAATATGTTTCGAAATTGGGTCAGTTTACAATTATTTAACCATTTGTCAGAAAAGGAATATACGTGATTAACATTTCAGCTTGTCCTTATTAGCGGTTTAGAAATGTAACGTGTGACGCTTTTGTACCCTTTAAATTCATAACAAAAGTCATTTGTCATTGCAAAAAGTGTTCTCGCACACAGTGATTAGGTACATGCTAGTTTGCAAATGTAACCTTTAGGTATCCAAATGTAACCCGAAGCAACAGTGTATTGAAATTATGTTATCAAGAAAACTACTATTTATTTAAACGGCTCATTAAAGTTGAGTTTATGTGCTGTTGTTTAATATTTATAACTTAAAATGACCATTTAAAACTAATTTTTCAAACTTGATTCCAATAATTGCTTGAACCAGGCCACTAAATATTTGTCTCCTAATTGACTGATTCAAATAAATGAATGTATTTTATTTAAAGAGTTACTAGACTTCTTCATGTAAAACTTTAAGTAACTTTTTGTAACATTTTATTAACACCCTGCATAATAAATTATATCTTTGAACAATATTTTATATTCTTGTTTGATGATTGACTATGAAACTTTACGAACCTCATTCAAAAGAAAATCAATCAACCCTTTCTCGAGCTCTAAGCCCCTTTCAATATCATAGTAAGTCGCCCACTGCGAGGCCCACAGTCCTTAGTCTTCTTTGGTACCTTTTCTTTTGTGACAGATGTCAGCAAACCGAGAAAGGGAGACATATTAAAAATGCGTTTGAATGACCTAGAATGATTTTCAAAAGGTTGATACTTGTTCCCTTTTTGTTATGAGGAATTTATCGTTTTTCATCTTGTACTTATATTACTTTTAGAAAAGGATTTCTTGTGTTGCTCTTTAGGTATAAGATGTATCTATTTTAATTAAAGGTGGAAATCTAAAAAACCATTTATGTACCATGAATCTATTTAAACTTCTTTGCCACTTAGTAAAAGGTTTTTAATGTACACACAATTTAGTGATTTAATTGCTGTTTGTCCCGATATTTCAAAAGTAAGCTCTGTAATAATTTGGAAATAACCACAAGATTATTTGGAAAACTCTGATCCTAAATTGGTTTTGGCTAATATACACTTAGGTATGATATATAAAAAACTTCAGTAAAATCACTGTAGAATTAATTAATTGTCATAAAACAACTCAAGGAAAAGTTAACACTATCATGAGACATTAAACTTAATACAGAAATTCTATGTGCTGTAGAACTGCAAGTTAGATAATAAGTTGTAACTTACGTGTACAAGACTTCGGCTCATCGCTCTTGTCGCCGCAATCGTCCTCCCCGTTACAATACTTGTCCAAAGATATACACTGTCCTGTATCACATAACAATTCGCTCATCCTACACGGCGTCGATGCGCCTATGTTTCTTGGAAATTTCACCTTTTTTACAGGCAGAACCGCACTTATATCAGGCAACGTCTCAATACTATCCTCGTTCACAAACTCCTCATTTAAGTCCTGAGGACTGCACATTTTTAAACACAATAGCACTATTACGAACAAAAAAGTTCTGTTGCCAATGACGTCCTGAAAATACTTTGGTTGACACATTTTCGCTAATGTCATGTTTCCGACGTCTTCATGTGGGCGGTGTCACAACATTTGATCTGAGTTGTTATGTTTCGTGTTAATACCTGTAACAATAATTATAATATTTAAAGTTATAGTTTATTTACTTGTACTTGTATTAAAACATTAATGATATTAACATGGTATGGTATATTTTATTATTTATATAATCGGTATGTATATTTTAACGTTTCTGCACAAAGGTCATCAACGTCCAGCGACATTGTGGTGATGCTGTGAAAATATTATTTCTATCATTTCCACCAATAGATTTAACATACTCATTAACATTACATATACTGTTTATTTTTGGAAAAATCAAAGACCATATGTTCTTATATTATTGATTTTAGCTTTACTGATTCTGAGGTACAGTAGCTATTTTAAACACTAAATTTTCAGTATTTTCTTGTTAAACTTATAAAAAAAGGATTGGCTGATATTTGTTGGAAAGCTAGAACCAAAATATTAGCCGGAAGTGTAAACATCATTGCGGAATTGAAAAGTTACTCTAAAAAAAATGATCATCTAAGGAGAACCACCTGACAGACACTTTACTAATAAAAAACAGTATAATTCTAAAAAAAGTGAAGTAAAAATGAGAATAGAGTAAAAAAAAAGATTGAATGCAATGCAAATGTTATCATCAAACTCGAATTTTGAAATATATTATGAAAGCAATATTTAATATCAGTTGCTGGTATACAAGAGAGTAACATCTTATGGACGCATGTATTGATGGAGAGGAATATTATTCTAAATAAAATGAATAAAGAGCTCTAACATATTTTTTTTGGGGCCTGATGTAAGAATATGCCGGCTAATTTAAATGTGAAAGTTATTTTTGTGGTTTCATCTGTAAGTAGATTGCTATGACTGTGATAGATATCTATAAATGAAAATTAAAATCGTCATGTTAAAATCTTGTAATATGTGTTACTTAGTTAGTTTTAACGCTACGAAAATACTTTCTTGGATTAGAATAATAATGTACCACACATGAAGTTAAAAAAATGTTTTTATTAAGGCTCACCTGATTTGATATATATTTAAAGTCGAATAGACGGACGGACGAACGTCCTATAAAATAGCTTCAATTGGACAACCCTATCACATAAAATTCAAAAAAATATGTAACTTGGTGATTAGAGTACTGATTTCAGTGAACTACAAAGTATTTAAAACCAAAAAGCTTTTCGGCATATCGGGTGGGTTCTTTTGCTACTCATATTAAAGAACCTAAATCTAGAATTTATATTTTTAGAATATATGTTAAAATGCCTCAATTTCAATAAAAATGTGCCACTATAGTCTACCAAATACTGGTACGAATATGCTATTTCCAACTAATTGTAATTGATTAGACATTCAAAACCATTTAGAAACTATTTTTAGCAACTTAAGTTATTTCAAAAAGCTTAATTGTTTTCTCTAACTCATTAGAATAATAGTAAGGAAAATTTTATGCAAATCGATACGGTGACGGTAGCTAACTTTTACGTAAGTTGTGGCGTGTTGGCAAACTTAGGTTTCATTTACGTAATCACAATTTACGGAAACAGGTATTCGACATTTATTAGTTATTGTTCATATTTCGTTAATAAACTATATGATAAGCAACAAGACTGTATGTATAGTATAGATAAAATGCAAAAAAAATATAAGACACTTATTTTTAGGCAGATGTAGTTTTAACCTATTTCTCCCGAGTCGTTTAATCTTGACAGCGTGGTTATAATATCATAATGATGATAGTTAAGGTAATATCATCTTTCGTTATGTGGCTCCAGTTGTTGCTCTTTTACCTGGAGACTGTACGATGGCAACTTTTATAATACAAACTCAGTCAGCCTGTGACAATGGCCAATGCAATCTAGTCATAAGGTCAGGCAATTCTTACAGACCTTAAGCGGGCCCGTTAATACCCGTAAACATAATTGTATAGCTATCATGTTCGTTCAAATGGTAGATGATCAAAGACGTGACCACTTGCTTTTTAGGTCTGAGAAAAAGGCAAGCGCCTTGTCTTGAAAAATGTGAGTAACGTAAGGTCCCCATTGTAAAGGCAAGTAGGATGTTCTGAGAGTTTGTTTCACAAACTTTCTTTGTCAACATGATAGTTATCTCTTATCACTTAAGTAAATTTATTTGCATATATTAAAACAAAGTTCATAAAACATAGCAAAAAAAAAATACGTAAATGCAAAACAGAACCGGAGCAGACTTGTCTATTTATCATTACAAACATACAAGTAAGTTTTCAAAGTCACGTAACCGAGTTTCATAAGACAGTGTTCACTGCTTGCTTTGTCAACTGGTTTTTATACACATCATGAATAAACGTTACATCGGCAACTTATTTCCCCACAGAGCTGACAAACTTTTCGATTTCCATATTCATACAAATCTTTGAATGCCTAAAGTTTTACCGATACTTTGAAATGTTAAACATTTTCAAATTGTATTATGAAGCTACATATATTGTGAAAGAAGATTCTGTAAAAACAATTTTATAGTCATTTTACGCCGAAGAGCGTTTATTCTTATTTATAACTAACTGGTATTAGCGACTGCGTTCGCGTGGAATTTGAAAAGCGCTGCCTTAGTGGTTGAGCCAAATTTTATAGGGTTTTCCTGAGAGAAGAAATGGTCTAAGTTACTCCTTGTATAGACAGCTACACGTTAGAAAAATACTATCGAAATCGGTCCTGCCGTCCTGTCAGACAGACAGACAAAAAATATTTAAACTAGTTTTTAGGCATAGGTATCGTGCAAATAACCGTGTGAACATGAAAAAAACCTATTATTTTGACATTACAAACAGATACTTCACACTTCACACACTTAGTTAGGGACCAGCACTTTTTTTAAGCAGGGGACTTTACAAACATACATGAAACGGACACAAAGGACACCCAGACTCATAACAACAATTTGTGGATCATACAAAGTGTTGTCACGTCATGTGGGGATCGAACCCACAACACCCAGCGCAGTAGGAAGCGGCGAGTTGACCGCTTAAACCACTACGCCATCCGTGCAGTCAGTCAGTCAGTCATATGTCTTATTACTTTATTTTTGACAAAACTAGTCTAGAATATACAACATAGAGAAGAGGAAAATGTGACGTACGACAGCACTTTGCCACGTCGACTGCTACACGCCATAAATCAACCCGCAGTATTAAATTTCTTTATCTAGGCACGGTCTAGCACTTACAGGTGTGCAATAGAATTTATGGGCTCCACATATGGCACGAGGGCCGCTGAATGTATTATCCTACTTACAAGAGGTCGATTGTGCTTCAGCTTTACACTTACTTTGATTGCTTATGTTTCGCCTAGTATCCGTTTTCCCTTGTCATTCGAGTAAGTAGTCAGACCAACATAGAGGTTTTGTATCTCGTGGTTTACCTTAAGTTTATAATTAACAGGGAGCAGTTATTTTGTACACATTAAGCATGAAAATGATCATTCAGACGTTTATGAGGTTAAGAGGGAATTCATACTTCTAGGCCAGACTGTGACAATGAAATCTTTATTATCAAGCTTTTACTTTTAATGAAATTCTCAAACATTTCATTTTTCTTCATAGACCAACATAAATTATTTCAACGCAAAGACCTTCGGGGACTGTAGGAATAACTTTATTGCTCGTGCATTTTAAACTTCCTTTCTCATTTTCTTCTTTATTTCAAGATGCTTCAGTATTCCTTTGCATAGGTATTCTTCTTTGTGAGAACCTCAATAATAGAATTTATCTTGAAATAGGACACAGTGTTAGCGGTTTTATGCACGCCGCCGACATAACGTGAATACAAATTTTCATAAGCGCTTGTAATCCGTCGCTCCCTTCGGCGTTCAAATGTAAATTTTCCTAAATTCCTTCATTTCAATCCTTTAGCAAAATCAGGAATTCAAATCGCGGTTTTAATCTTGGAGAGGATTTTGCAAAAAAGTTTTTATGGCGCATTTATATTTTTGAACATAAACGAACAAGCGCTAGGTAGTAAAATTTATTCAAAATCGTTTTGAGAATTATTTTGAAACTATTTTTAATAGTATTATAAAACAGTTTGAAAGTACATTCAATTATTAGCGAAGTGTTTAATTGCGAATGCGAGTAGATAAATATAGTATAAGGTCGTACTTACTAATAAAAAACTTCGTTGCTACCTACCTAATACTTTGAAAATATAAATAATTAGTGAGTTACAAATTGTAACTGATCGAATTGAATAAGTTTCTAGTTGCTCATATATTTATAATTTATTTATTAGTTCTGTGCGGAGTACTCATTATTTTTTTGTCATATGAATAAGTACCAAACGCGTTATGTAGAAATTACTAACCGCTTTTATTTAGCATTGTCTACAAAAGAAAGGGCCAATTAGTAAATATACAATAGGTTTAAGAACTAGGTGCCTTGAAGTTAAATAAAAACTATAGGTTTTATTTTACTCGTTTTGGTAGAATACAACTTTTTCCATTAGAACTAACCACTATAACACTTCTTTTTCCCATTTATAAAAATACAGTTTTTCCCTTACTGAATTCCTGGTATTATCTATGTAAAATTGCAACATAATCAGCTTTCGTTTTGTGCTTTACCTTGTACGTTATGCTTTAACTATGAGTAGTTAGTATATAGTCTAACAAACAAACAAACTTAAATTCGCGTTTAAAATATAAATTTATTCACCTCTTCTTCAAATACATTGTTAATTGAATAGAACAAAAAAAATGATGTCATTGAATGACGAATTTAACTACGAGTATAGAAAGGGTATTCTCAATTAATTAAACATGAAACAAATGCTGGGTGGGCTGCATAAAACAGCAATTAGACGCCATGGTTGTTTCGTTTCACACATAATAATGTTTACGTTTATAACGCGTGTTTTT